CCCCGAGGAGCCGCCAATGGCAGCGCTCCAGAGATGATTTGTTATTTTCCTTGCCTTGCAAACTGCTCTTGGTGTGTGAGGAGAGGGTGAATGAAGGTTACCATCAGCCCCAGTGCTTGGCTGTGCAGAGATTCTGGCTGTGCAGAGATCAGCCCGAGTGTTTGGCTGTGCAGAGATCAGCCCCAGTGCTCTGACAGTGCAGAGATCAGCCTCAGTGCTTTGCTTTGGCTGTGCAAGATCAGCCCCAGTGCTTTGCTGTGCAGAGATCAGCCCCAGTGCTCTGGCAGTGCAGAGATCAGCCCCGATGCTCTGGCAGTGCAGAGATCAGCCCGAGTGTTTGGCTGTGCAGAGATCAGCCCCAGTGCTCTGGCAGTGCAGAGATCAGCCCCGATGCTCTGGCAGTGCAGAGATCAGCCCGAGTGTTTGGCTGTGCAGAGATCAGCCCCGATGCTCTGACAGTGCAGAGATCAGCCCCAGTGCATTGGCTGATCCCTTTGCTGTGCAGGATCAGCATTGCTCTGGTGTGCTCAGGGCTCAGCCCGGTTGGCACCGCTCTGGCACCACGGCCCCCACGTGCCACAGCCCTGCTCACCCTCCATCCCCTCTCCTGGCCACCACTGAACACCAATAAAGAGAGAAAACCCCAGAAATAAGTGTTTATAGCAGAATAGAGACTGCTGTCCTTTCAGGGCAGGTGCTCAGGTGCCTGTTCTCTTGTTTCCCTCTGATCCACATTGGCAAAGGCAGAGCTGAGCCAAGACAGCCCAAACCAGACCCTACCCCCAAACCCTGCTCCCCACACACTCAGCTAATAAACCCTGTAAGAAATTGCAGCTCTTCCAATCAGGCTGTTGACACAAGCAGGCCAGCAGGGCTGTTTTATCGACTTTGCCGTGTTAACCTGGTTCCTTAAATGAATTCTGCAGACGGGCCTGTGTTGTCCAAGTGCACTGAGCTGTGTCTGTCAGAGCACTGAGCAGAGCAGCCAGCCCTGAAAGGGAGAGAGTGCTCTGCAGGCCATTATGGTTGTGCAAATGGTGAGGGTGACAGGCAGCCAGGGAGCTGCTCCCAGAGCACCTGGGGCTGGGAGCTCAGCTTTTCTGGGCAAGGGAACCTGCTCAGAGCATCCCTCAGGAGAACCAGCCCCAACCCCAGCCCAGCCCCGGCTCCTCCCGCTGGGCAGAAATGGCCCAAAGGTCCCAGTGACAATTCCTCCAGGAGTATTCCCTCCTTACAGCACCTTCCAGTGCCTCAAGGAGCTCCAAGAGATCTCCTTGAAACCAGCTGAAATTGAAATGCAGGACAGTTTTATGTTTACAATTTGCTGCCCCTGCTGCAGGTCATGGACGCTGCCTAGGAGCCTGAAACATACTGCTGCTGTCAGATTAAATGAAAACAGTTGTAAAAAGCCTGGAAAAACACTTTCTCTGGGCAAAACTGACATGGGGTTTAGTGGGGGACGGAGGTTTCGTGTTTGTGCTGCACATGAGGGGAAGCAGCAGAACCTGAGGCTTCCCCTAAAAGTGAATAAAAGTGAATATTGTGTGGGGCTGAAGCAGCCTGGGCTGGTGGGAAGTGCCCTTGCCCATGGCTGGGGATGGAATGAGCTGGGTTTAATGTCCCTTCCCACCCCAGCCGTTCTGTGATTCGATGAAAACCAATGCACCAAGGAGCCAAATTCACTGTAATTCACCCATTTCTGCAGAGGTGCGAACCCGCTGCACACTGAATTAGCCTAAAGCCAGGGCAGGGACGAGGTGCTGGGCTGGCCCTGCTCTCCTGGCAGCGCCTGCACTGCTGAGCTGGGGCAGGGTCCCGGGGCAGGGTCCCACCCTCCCGCGGGACACGGGAGGGCTCAGGCACAGAGAGGAGATGGGGAGCTGCTGGCCTCCTGAGGAAAATGCTTCTGCATGAATTGGAGAGCTGCGTTTGAATTAATTTTGAGTAGTTGTTTCAGTAATTCAGATTGATTTAAGATGCGCCCAAGAATAATGCTTTCATTATAAAGCCTCCTGAGCAAAATTTAAATTGTGTTGAATTAAAAACAGCCTCTGTTAAAGCAGGGCTGGTGAGCACAGCAGAGGGATGGGAGATGCAGGGTCAGGATAATTTAATTCCTTTGCTTTGTTTCCCGCTCCAGAAAAGCTGCTGCACCTGTCTCCCTGGGCTGTTAGCTGCCTAAGGAGCCTGCAAGGCATCCTGAATTTCTCTAAACTGATTTCATGGTAACCCCACCAAAACCTGTGCTTATTTATTGTGCTGGGCTTCACCTTCAGGAAGAAATGCATTTTTATTGCATTTTATTTATGGGTCAGTCTGGAAATGTGATTGTATCCCAAAGATACTTGGGAATCTGGGAGAGCAGCTGATGCACAGGACAGTGGAGGGTTAATGGTCTCCTGCTGTTGGCTTTGTTTGTTTGTTGTGAGTAAACCTTGGTTTGACACAAATGGAGCTAATCCTATAACAGGGAAAAAGTTATCCTGCACCTGGCAGATCACTCCTCTAAGGCACTCTGTCACAGCAGTGCTGGGCTTCCAGCCTCAGGGAAAGCTGCACTTATCTGGGTTTAAATGTATTGCTAGTGAAAACAAGTTACTTATATATATATAGTTTTGAGTTTAAAACTGTCATGCTTCATAATTTCTTGTTCTAAATGCTGGCTGAATTACTAAGGGAAAAGGCAGGGAATGTTTAGGATCTGGGTAAAAGCTCTGAGTGCTGCTGAAAGCCAGCAGCACTGGCCAGCACTGAGGAGGGCAGGGCTGATGGGCTGGGAGCACGCTGGAGCCCTTGGCTGCATTCTGTGCAGCAGGAATTGCGAGCACTCTCATTTAGCAACGAGATCCTTCCAAACAGACTGAAAAGGCTTCTGAGGAGAGATGTGTATGAAATATTGCCTGAAAGTGCCAGTGTGTCAGGGCTGGAAGGATTTTTGGGGACATGAAGGGGGCCAGGAGGGTTAGCCCTGGATGGTGAGCCGCCACCCCACTCAGGGGGAGCCAGGAAGGTGGAGACAGCCTGAAAGTCCCAAATCAGTAACACCCAGAGCCTCAGTTCTCAGGCTTTACAGCATTTTCTAGGTCCCTTCCCAGTGAACCCTTACAAAGCCACGTTTAAACGTCTAATTTCTTAAATCCATGTCAGCTCATTTCCAGCACTTGTTCCTCTGTGATTACAACAAATTGAGAACGCCCTGAGGTCCCTGGGAGTGCTGGGTTTGTCCCTGTGCTCAGAAAGGGAGGGAAGGGACCCAAACCCAGCCCAGCCTGGGGGGAGCAGAGCCCCAGCTGCTTTCCAGAACGTTCTGCACGTCCTGGGGCCCTTCCCAGCCCACCCAGGCCAGCCCTGACCCCAGCTCCAGTCACAAAGGTGCAACAGCACGAGTGGGAACGGGTGTGCAGACTGTGTCTGAGCGTGAATGGGTGTGCAGGCTGTGTCTGAGCGTGAACGGGTGTGCAGGCTGTGTCTGAGCGTCAATGGGTGTGCAGGCTGTGTCTGTGCCAGGACAGAGTGATCATTATTAAAGGGAATCTGGAAATATTATATCCATACAATAATGGAATCTCCAAAGCTGGATCTTCTCCCCTTGTGCAGGGACCCCTGAAGGAGCCACCCAAGGCAGGTGTCCCTGCTCAGACCCTGTGGTGGGGACAGGAGAGGGGCACTGACCAGTATGGACCAGTCAGAGCACGGAGAGCTGAGCTGGGGCAGGGCTGGGATGCAAAGCCCAGCTTTGATTTCTGGGTTTTACCTTCCCCAGGGGAAGGAATAGCTTCTGCCATAAACCTGCAAACTTTGCTTCGTTATTAAAAAGGAAGAATAGGAGATCTTTAGGTGACTATGACAAACAGGTTCTACACTTGCACTTAATGAAGGAATTCAGACTTTCAGTTGTCATATGCCCAGATTCGGCGCCTTTCTGACAGCTGAATTATGATTTTAATAATTGAAAAGTGCTACTGTGAGCCTGTTCATGTATAATAGGGCACAGAGAAGTGTTTAAAATCAAAAGCAGTTTAGAGAAAAAGTGGTCCCTGCATTACAAGGAGAATTGTCTACATCTGAGTATTAAACTGTGTGAACTCTCCAGTGGGAAAACTCTTTGCAAAGTAGCTCTAGATTTCCTGCACTGTTTTGCTGTGTGGGATAGGGAGATTGCCCTCGATCCTGGTTCTGTGTGTGCCCCAAGAGCAGCCTGCAATGCCCCCTTTCCTCTGCACAGCCTTGTCAGGGTGAGGGTTTGGCCATTCTGCTCCCAGGGGTTTTGGTTCAGAGCAGCAGAAGCGCAAATCTATAATCTCAGTCACAACATCTGTGAGACAGAAATGAAATACAAGGGGGAAAAGATCCCTCCAGGCTACATTGCCCTCGCTTTGATTTCATTATCTTTGTACCTGTCCCTGGGAATGTTTGAAATTCCACTGCAGCCGCCACAGCACGCTCGGTTCTCACTCACAGCTAAGCACAGACAAGAAGCCCCTTTCCTGCTCAGATGAGTAAAATCCAGATCACATCCTGGCCATCACTGAGTATTCCAGCACAGTGACCCACAACACCCACTCGGATTCAGCTAATCTGTGCTTCCTGGCAGGCCAAGGGGAGAAACAAGGACTGAGACACGAGAGACCCGTCAGCAGCTTGGTGTGAGACGCGTGGCCGGAGCCCGTGTCAGAGCGAGCAGAGCTCCCCTCCAGCCCCTGCACTCGGGGCAGCTTCTCCCTCCTGCAGGGATGAATCAGATCCTGCTACTCCAGCACTCTGCTCCTCCTGCACCCGCCTGCCGTGGTGCCGAGCATTTGTCAGGTGGGTGTGAGAGCTTTTTCTGGTTTACACAACCGCACGCAAACCGCAGGAGTTGTAAGGCGAGGAATAATCAAGCCCTGAACACTTCCAGCCCCTTCTCGAACATGCACCCAGGAAAACGCTGAGGAGGAGCTGAAGTCAAGCTCCCCGTACACGCTCGCCTGCTGCTCAGGAAAAGGAAAAGTAATACTCACCCCAGCGTTGTCATGGTTACAATAGTGTACCAAAAGGAAGCAGGAATACTGGTGAATTTGCTCGCCGAGGACCCTTTCTCCGCATAAAACATCACAGTTGCAAAGATGATGATTGCCATAGTGAGGGAAAAGAGGAGAAAGCCAAGCTCGGAGGCACAGCTCTTCAAAGTGTAGCCCAAGATTCTCAGGCCTTGGGAATGGCGGGAGAACTTGAAAATCCTGAAAACCCTGAAAACCCTCAGCGTGACGAAGGCCCCGCTGACGTCCTCGTTGTTGGTCATGACCAGGCCGATGTAGTAGGGCATGATGGCCACCACGTCGATGATGCTCATGACGCTGCGGATGAAGCGGTAGCGGCTGGGCGCCGCGAACAGCCGCAGCAGGTACTCGACGGTGAAGATCATCACGCACGCCGTGTCCAGGCAGAAGAAGGCCACGGCGTAGCGCTCCCCGCAGGGCAGCTCCTTGCTCCCCGGCACGGAGCCGCAGGGCACGGTCTCCACCACGTTGGTGATCACCGAGACGGCGATGAAGAACCCGGTGACGTAGTAAAAGACTAAGGCTAAGGTGCTGGTGTGGGGGTTCTCGAAGGCGCGCCACATGGTCTGCCGGAAGCTCAGCGAGGGCATGGAGCCCTCCTGGTTGTTCTCCGAGTCGTTGTCGTCCATCAGGCGCTCGGCGTTCTCCCGCTTCCTGTCCTTGTACTCTTCATAGCAGCAGTCCCCGATGATCTCGGGCAGGATCCCGTAGAAGGCCAGCTCTTCGTCGTAGGCAGAGATGCACTCGTACCGGGGGTAGTGCAGCTTGCCAGTTCTGTAAAAATTGAGGATGCACCTGAAGACCTCGGGGTCCCGGTCAAAGAAGTACTCCTTGGTGTCTTCGTTGAAGAAGAACTCCTTCTCCGTGCTGCCCAGGAGAGTGTCCGGGTACCTCTCCAGTGTAGTCCTCCAGGTCTGGAAGCGCCTGCCGCTCACGTTGAGGATGATGAGCTCATCCTGCCTCTTGTTCTTCTCCGTGGGCGCCAGCGGCATGGGGCAGTTGGCCACTGGCATCCATCCTATGGCGGCTGCCCTGGCGAAGGGCAGCCAGGCTGCCACCCCTGCTGCCATGGTGAGCCCGGGCGCGTTAGTGCAGGCGGGGCTGGGGAGGCTGCTGGGCGCTGCTGCGGGTCACACCAGTTCCATCTGCAACACAGAGGAGAAGAGAACACAGCACACAGTCACGCCCTGCCCCGGTGGGTGGGAGAGCCCAGGACCCGCACGGACACCGGAGCCGACAGCCACTGTGGAGGACGATGTTGAACAAGGCATGCCATAATCAGCTCAGCGGGGCTATGGCATTCTTATAGATGGAAAGTTTGAATAGCAAATGATTCCTCATTAAAAGCATTTTAAAAGTAGCATAAACACAGTAATTTATATTTGCTTCCTCACAAACAAGACTAATCCATAATTCCCCAGGTGTAAGCCTCCTGTGCTCATCAGTTTAACTACAGCTGTCAAGAAAGAGCTGGGAACTCCAGTGGAATCAGCCTGCAGTGGAATCACACACCACGAGAGCCCACGACTGGGCTCAACTGCATTTCCATTTCTAGCCATGAATTTGTTTTAACTTTTTGATCTTTGGTCAGAGTTCTTACAGTCTTTAACTTTTGTTTTAACTTGCTTTTACTTCCACTTCCCTAGTGCTTTTCTAATTCTGCCATGAAATTATCTGAAGAAAGGTGCCATTATCATATAAAATGCATTAGGAGCCCTATCAAAAGTCAATTTATCAATGGAAATTCCATTGATTCCAATGACTCAGGCCCTCAAAGCCTAATTGTCTATTTGTAGGCAGTTTTACTCTAAAGTTTTTAACTTACATGAAAGCTGCCATTCCAGCCAGTATGGCTGCAGCATTATTGATTCCAATGGGCCATCAAAATACTGAATAAAAAATGATGGAATGAGTCTGTGGTGAAAATGCCTGAAGTGCTCGCAGAAATGCTCTCCCTCTTCAGGGCAAATTAACATTCATCACCTTAATGTGGAGCATCTTCCTATGCAATTTTACTGTCTAAAGGACAATTGAGATCCCTCGTGCGAGCATCTCGCCGCCGCTGAAGAGCTTTGGTAATTACAGAACATGTAATAACCCACAGTACTGCTCATCCCAAGGAGAGGCTTTGCTTATCTGCACGGCACTGGAGCAAACATCTCCCAGGATTTCCCTCCCAGGAACTGCTCAGTGGTACAAAGCACCACCACTTTTCTGTCCCCCCAGAGAGGGAAGTTACAGTGTGAGCACTGGCTGCCCTGGGGAGCAGGGCAGAGCTCAGCACTGGAGCCTTCTCTGCCAGCTCAAAGGGCATCTCCAGGGGCTCCTTCTACCACCAGTGTGGGTCTTGGCACTTTCATGGAACACTTAACAACAGGAGGCAGCAAAATAGGAATTATGTCATCCATTAATCACCAAATATGTACAAATGCATATATATACTCAAGAAACCAAGAAAAGGCATCTTGTTCCCGCTTTCCCTGCTGGCAAACTGTCTTCTCTGTTTTTTAATTTCACTTAGCACCACCACCAGTGTCCTTCTCCAGGACTGACTGGTGACCTGACCACTTTCAGCACACTGGATCCTCATGTCCCCTGATTTCTCAGGGGAACCACATCAGAAATCTCTTCTGTACTTTCATAACTTTGGTTGTGGATTCCAGGTTACCTACATTAGCTGCTGAGGCTCTATAAATACTTCACATATAATTGTTCCAATAAAGCACTGGTAACTCATAAGTGACTTACACATTTTTAAATCAATTTTTGAAAGATAAAATGGGTCCTTCCATGCTGGCAGTATATGTGGGGAAGCTATAAATACCTCAGCGATGAAAGGGACAGGAGATTAAAGCAAAAGAGAAAGAAAGGGGAATTCTTCTGTGGAAGTTCAGTTCCTGTTTCTCGGGGTCCAAGAGATGAAGCTGGTTAGAACAACGGAGCGCACGCAGCTTCATTCTCAGAGTTACTGAACCTGCCCCATCTGATCCTCAAAATACACACAAGAGAACAAGAGGAGTCTTTATCTGGAGGACCATGAGTGAGAAATTAAATCCCCTTTTGTAGAGGTTTTGCTTTTTCTTGTCCACGAGTCCTTGGAACCCTACCAGTCCTTCAAGGAAGGGAAAGAAAATTGGGAGAGAGAGAGGACTGGATTTATAATTCTGACCTGCACAACCTAAACTGAGTCAAAAAAAGATGAAGCAACCAGTTCCTCTAGAATGTAGAATTCCAGAATGTAGAAAGAATCCCCCTTTTCTGCCTGCTTGGATTTTGGAAACTGCCAACCAGTCTGTTTAGGCTGGAAAGCAATTGGCTGGACTCAAAATCTAATGTACTGTTGACAGTGTCTGGAGATCTCATAGAAAACAGACACACTCTAATTCTAACAAGCATATATTTAGATATATCCATATTTCTAATTTTAATTACCATAATTTCTGCATGTAATTTAAAAGGAACTGGTTCACAGCAGACCGGCACCCTGCTGATGACATTTAGAAGACCTGGTACACAAAATAGAATCATTTGCCTCCTGGTTTATAAAAGTATCTGCAGAGAGAAGAATCTGTTTTCTTCAGATAACTGTGGGGACAAGGAAACAGCCAAGGAAATCTGGGAGAAAAGGCTGAGAGGAGCCCCCTGTCCCTGCCAGCACTCCTGACCGCGCTGGGTCCCTCCCGAGCAGCGCTGGCTCCGCTGCAGCCGCTCCAAAAAACCCCAAAGAAACCCCAAAAAACCCCAAAAACCCTGACAGCCAAATCCTGACCCAGCCTGGTCCAGGACAGCTCAGGAGGAAAACCTGGCAGAGAACAGAAATGGCTGTTCACCCAAAGGGTCCAGAAATAAAGGATGGATTCTTACCACAGTAGCTCCACACTGATCAATGTCCCTTCATCATCTCAAGAGAGCAGAGACAAACCAAAAATCTCAGAGTTTCCCTTTCTAGAAGCAGACAGGGCTGCTCTGAAATTGGGCTGATAAGCACACTGCAAGTTTCTTGATGAGACAGTGCTAATGGGAGTGAGGAGCCTGGAGATCATTCCTTCTTCCCTCTCCTGTCCTTGTTGGGTCAGGCTCAGGCAGCAAAGAGACCTTTGCTTTACAGCAAAATATGTGAGCCAAAGCCTCGGCGTCTTCTGTCAGCCACACATTCCTTCCCCTTCGCAGCAGCACCAGAAAACAAAACTTTCTGCACAACGCTCCCTCCCTCAGTCTGCTGGGGAGATTCGGGAGCAAAAGCAACAGGCTCAGGATAAATGCACACAAACTTCTCCCCCCTCCGCCCCGAGAGCCCCATCTTGCAGCGCTGCCTTACCTGGAGGGAAGGACACTGTGCGCCCAGAGCGGGGCCGGCTGTGGGGAGCGGGAGAAGGGGAGCAGGCACTCCTGGGGATGGAAGGTGAGCGGTGCCGCCTGCTCTTCCTCCCTCTCCGAACGCAGTCAGCAGCAATCAGTAAATGTGCTCATCATTGTGAAAGTATATATAGAGAGATGACTAAACAGCTTCTCCCTCATCGCTGCCGAGGCTCTCGCTGCCTCTCCCCAGCTGGCAGGCGCTGCCCCCTCCCCTGGCAGCGCTCGCTGTGCCCGCGCTGCCCAGCCCAGCCCAGCCGGGCACGGACCCGGGGCTGGGGAGGCAGAGCCGAGCCAAGGGCGCTGTGCGCTGGCACAGCAAACGGAGCCGTTAAATAAATACACGGCAGAGCCTACCCTGCATGCTAATGTGCCAGGGGGAGATGCAGGGGGGACAGCAGGGGATGAACTTCAGGGCTCCATCGCGGAGCTCCCGTGTGTGTGTCCCTGCTGGCTGCCCGTCAGGCGGGACAGGGCAGAGGGATCCCTTCTGGACAGGAACACGAGCTGTTCCTCCAGCACCGCGAACCCACACCCAGCACCTCGGCCAGGGCGGGCGGCTACATCCAGGAACAAAAAGAAATCACTGGGATTTAAACCGATCTTTCCCTATCTTCTCCTTTCTTCCTTCCCACCACCTTTCTCTTTTCCCCTCGTCCTGCCGTTCTGGCTCGCCCTGCTCCTTGGCAGCCCTTCCCCGTCCTGTCTGCACGCCGCCTCAGCATCCCTTCCATCCCCGCTCAGAAGTTGGGCTCGGCACGCTCCGAGACCCGGCGGCCTCGCTCATTTATCCATCTGCTGTCGCATCTCCATTAAGTGAATAGCCACAAGCCCGGATCGGAGC